ATACTAATTTGTTTTGAGTTTTTTGCATGCTTGGATAGTCACAATCTTTCAGTTCATTTTCACTAATTTGCCTAGTTTATATGCTTTGATCTCTTGTAGGTCCCCATAGTTCATGAGTGTTGTGTGAGTGGGACAAATATTTCAGCAGTATTGGTTTTCTCAGCTAACTGAAATGGCTTGTAGATAGCTGAGAAGGAATTCAAGATGGAACTCACTTATTATTTTCATATATGTTGGTAATATCAAGAAGCAATTGCTATAATATAGTGAGTTGTGGTTTGGTTACACTATGCTGTGATCTTATTGGCTAGCTTTGTACAGAGAAAAAGAGGTGATTTTTTATGGGATAACCTAGAACAGTGAGTTCCTGTCCTCTAGTTGATTTTGTAATACAAGTATAAGTAATTACCAGGCACTTTTTACAGGAACTATATATAATTTGTTATTCTCAGGAAGACCATTTCTGTTAAAGATTTTTAAACAGCTAATTCTATCCTTATGAGCAAGAAATGTCTTAATAGTGAATGAACAGTATACAGCTGGCCTAGCGAGAGTATTGTCTTCTATCGGTGAGCTATTGTTAAAGAACCTAATTAAAATGATGACTTTTTCTTTGGTGTTTAAATATTATTTAAGGATTTCATTGTTCAGTGCTTGTGTGAAAGTAATACTAAAAGTGCAACCTGTAGAAGCACAGATTCTTCCATGGACATTGCTATTTTTTAATTTGGGATCTTCTCCAGTTCTTTATTGACAGTGGAATGTCTTTCTTAGCTTTACTTCTGCTATGAACAAAATGAACACCAACTGTTATTACTCTGAGGTAGTAAAGCAAACCCATGAAGCTTTGATTTTAAACAGATTGCCCCTGTGGCAAGAAGTATTTGAAATAGGCTCTTGACTTGCCTGGTCTCATTTCCAACCATCCTATTCAGAGTGAGATCACTCTGGATATGACTGCTCAGATCACAACCCACAACTTGGAAGTCCCACCAGTGCTTGACAAACCACTACTCACGAATGCCACAAGGCTACAGCTGTGGTCAGAGAAAGTGCTCAAGCCTGAAGTCCCCTTAATTTAACAAGAGACCTGCTATGAGGCATTTTCTATAAGAAGCCCTTAGCTGTGCTTAGATACTTTGCATCTTGGTCCAAAACAGCCCAGAGCTGCTGGGGTTATAGCAGCTACCCCATCTTTTGGAGTATTAAGAGCTGATGTTTGTGGTAAGGACTTCTATTGTTTGGCTTTTGATTTCAACAATTGTTCATTACGTCTGGTTCTGTGGTGAGAAACAGCTGTGGTTCAATTTTTTTTTGTCACAGTCATCTGTTTGTTTTATGACATGAATAGCCAAAGTGAGGCATTTTAAACGTATGCATTACAAATTAACATAAAGACTACTCCGAATCATTGTAGGCAGCATCCAATTCGGAAGGCATGTTGAAATAAGTCCATTCTAGACCTACCCCTAAACAGCTTTCAGGAAGCATATTTCTTCAGGTCTCCCTTGACAGCTTTCTTATAGACAACAGAAATGTTTGGTTGGGACTATACTTTGTCTTGGAGATTCTCTTTTTGTCCCTCTACTGGGGACACAGTTATTAGCTTTCCTCTTATTACACTCTCATACAGTTTCTGATACCACAGGTTGTTATTCTGTCAGAAGATGTTTCACCTTTCTTTTATGTCCCATTCCTGATGTCAGACTATGCTGATACAAGTATTTGCCCTGATTCATTTCAGCAGAGACCTAGTGTAAAGCTCTGTACCATATATGCTCTTTATCAATAATTACTGATCCATCATTGTCCTGGGGAGGATCTGCTTCTGTCAGTCCTAGTATCAGCTTTCTTCTCACCTTCTTGAAACTTCACTTTCTCTTGTAGATGTCCCAGATGGTAGATCCTGTAACATCTTTTTGATTCTTCCATTGTCTCCCCAGGTCTTTCAAAATGTTATTCAATGAACTTCTGTGATTTTGAAAAAAAATTCTTTCTATTAGCATTATCAATCCAAACATACAATTATTAATACAATGACAGAAAAAAATATTCTAGTAGCAAATTCAGAGCCAAGGTATATTACTTCGTATCACATATCAACATATAGGTTCTCCAGACACACTTTTTCCTTAAAAGTTGTTGAATAGGCAACTAAATAGAATAGATAATACAGTATTTCAGTTAATTAGCAAACTGTTTTCAAAGTGTTTCAAACAAAAATCTTCTTTGATTCTGTATTATTTTATTAACTTATATTACAGACCCTGATGCATCTATTTCAGCTGGACTTTTAAAAAGTTGTGGTGCTATAAGATGCATGCTTGCAAGACTATTATCATAGTTCTTGGGCATATTTTTAAGCATTGTCTATCCTTCTTTTTCTTAACATTTTACATAAATGTTGTAAGAATGTGTTTGTTTGCACCATCTCATTTAGAACCTTTTAAAATTCCTCCTCAAAGTCAAAGCATACCATTGCATTAAGAAAAATAAGCATGGCACCTTTATCAGTCACGTGCTGCTTGCTTCTAAAATATCTCCCATTTGGAAGTCTTTACTGTAATAACTGGGATATGAACACAAAGGCTGGAATTTTCCCAAACAGAAAGCTTTAAGCCATAATTTCTTAGTACAAAAGCCTCTTTTTGTTAAATTATATATAAGTATTTTCGGCAGGACCTCCTATGCACAAGTCTGCAGGAAGACTTCACTTTTGCAGTATCAGTTGAAAAGTAAATGTTCATCACCATTTGCATTAATATCAGTGTTACAAACACCCTCTTGCTTTTTTCACACATGAAAGTAGGGTATTTGCTCAGAGATATGTGCATTCAAGTTACCATCTGCTTTTCATTCTCTAAGCTGCCATTTTCTTGTCCCAAATAACTTTCTTTTAAGCCTTGCAGAGCAGTGTTCTGGAGCCCAAATGCTAAATCAGAACTTAGACAAAACACAAGATGAACATTAATACAGCACAGGGGGTGTATCTACACAAGACACTAACTGCGTAGTAGCTTAATTACACTGCTCAGTAGCACATCACGGCATGGACAGTGCTAATACACCACTGTGCAGTATTATTAGGCTACTGCACTGTAGCGTCACCTAAAAGACATTCGCCAGTGTTACTGTTCAGTAAATCTGGTCACTGCGCATTAATTTAGTACTTGGTTATACAAGTACTAAATTAAATACTCAGTAACCACTGCGCATTAATGAACATGTAGATGCGCCCAGTGGGTACACATTTGTTTATATACTGAAAAAGAGGACCAGCCTAGTTTTTTTGCTCTGATGCTATCACATCACCTAGTGAAAATCTGGCCTCTTGCCTTTCTATTTAATCTTTATGTTCATGTTAAGAGGAGGAAAAAAAATCCTATTATTAAAAAAAATTGCTGCTGCATGTCACAGAAAACTAGAGCTGAGATTTTCAAAGGCTATTTTAGTGGAATTTGGGAACATAATCTTATAGACTCTTTTGAAAGTCTAATAGTTCTCTGAAGGGCATGAATTTGAGGATTTTTCCCATCTTGTTTCAAGGCATTTGAAGCATTCTGAGAGCATGGCATAGCAACTTTGACTCCCTCCTCCTCCCCTCCTCCCCACACGCTTCATTCCATCTACAACCAAGCTGATATCTAGTGGCACAGGGAGGGAAATCTCAAGGTCATGCTGGATCTGATGTCTGTTATGTGATAACACATCATGCTGGCTAGAGTAACATTTTTTGGATGCTCTGCATCAATCTACAGCTATCTCATAATTAGTTTCCTTCATGACTTGATGATGAGATTGCAATTAGTAAGCACTTTACAACTGTAGTCTATAAAATCAGTTATGTGCATGTTCTATGATATTTTTTCCCATGAAATTTTTCTAAAGGGTGTGTAATGGGTATGTAGCTGAACAAAGAAAATGTGTTTGTCTTTCAGCACATGAGTATTTAGCACAGAAGAGTCAAATCTTGTTGTGGAGAAACAACCTTTTTCATCTGAAGTTTTATACATTTTCCTTCCCCTCCCACTCCACCCTAACTAAACCAGTATTTGGACAGCAGTTCATTCAAAATGGAAAGTTTGTAAGTCAGTGTATAATTAGCAATGTGGATAGATCTGAAGCATACTTCCATTCTCACTTAACGTATCCCACATTAGTTTTTGCATAATTTGAACATTCAAGAAAAGTACAGGTACATAAAATCTTTAGATTATTTTTCCCTCAGGAAGTTGGTTTGAATCTTAGGAAAATTGCTAAGTATCCAGGGGGACAGGAACTCTCCACGGATCTAACTAACCCTGAGGGCCATATTATCACAGAGATTAACTATTCTCAACCAATTTCTCAAATTCATTAGGCAGGTAAGGCTTTCTATCAACATTAGTTGTGTACTTTCTCTTTCTGTCTCTTTATTCTTAAACATATGTATTAGTTCCTTGACATGTGCAGCCTCTTACTCCACTTATTAATCAGCATCCCAAATGTTCATCTTATCTCAGTTCCACATTTTATTCTTTTTAAAAGCAGATAATATAATTTTGTGCTGTACTAAAAGCTCTATTACAGATTGGTCCTTCACAACATTGTGGGTACATCTACATGTGTATTTACTATGCAGGGTTAGACTGCTGTCTACACGTGCAGGCATTGAAGTGCAGTAACTTTGTGTGTGGACCAACTTGGGACTAAAGTTAGTCCCAAGTCAGTCCACCCATACAGTGTTACTGCACAGTAAGGTGTCTACACGTGTGTTACTGCGCAGTAACTAATCAGTAATTTTGGTTATTGTGCAGTAAATGTACACATGTAGACACACCCTGTATGTAGGTAAAAAGGCACCAGTAAACATTGAGCTGCATGCACAACACTTAAGAGGGTTAAATATTATACAAAAAAAGGTCAGTATTTCCTAAATGTTAGGAAATAGCCTAACAAACTTGACAGATTTAGTATAGAGCCACATAACAGTGACTAAAAAAAAAAAAAAGCGTCTATTCTGAAAGGATTCTGTGGGTTAACTTAATCAATATATAAGGTCCTCCACAATGCACAAACCACACATAGGACCTATATGCGTTGAAGGCAGACAGAACAACTCTGTAACATGGATCTGGTTTGCAGGGTTTGTCCAAGGGACTAAAACATTGAGAATCCAGAAGTGGGCTCTGATACGACCAAGTACAAATGTATGAAGGTCTACAGACATACTTCCAGCCCTTTCAATCCATACTTAAACTGAACAGAGGTGCAGAGAGGCTACATTTGCTCACTGTACATGGTGTA